TTTTTTTGTTTCAGATTTTTGAGACAGACCCTTTACAAACATGTGATTTCAGTAGGACCAGTACCGTAACATATGGATTTAGAGTTGTTTTTAGGATCTCGTTTTGCTGATTGATGAATTTCTTTGAAAAGCTTAGTTTTATCAATCGCACAATCTGAAGAGTGAAACCAAACTTTAAACGATTAGAATAGTGCTCTTTAGTTTCGCAGTCCTTGCATCGTGCTGAAGTGTTCAGCATTTTGATCACATTCATTTCTAGATAGGAGACAATGAGGACGGCAGCGTTAATGACAAAAAGTCTTTTTCAAGTCGTAATGATCGATGTAGTTTTGTTCCATCCGTTTCAAAACCTGAACCAGAGGTATGCCTTTTGTTTAAACCTTCATCTAACTCAAAATCTAAATTATCTAATTACGATAGTCTCTAAGATAGCTTTGCATCTGTAGAGGTTATTCTAATATTTTTTTCATAGCATTGGGCACTTTCGATAGTAAGGTTTTGTACACCTTAATTATGCGGTATGTGTTTAGTTATTGGTTCAGGTGATTGAGCTTTCAAGCGGCGATGAAGATGAGAAGCATGAAGAATTTGGTGGATATCCCAGTCGAGTCCCACCTATTCTAACTTCTTGCGAATATGTAAAGAGGTCCAGGTTTACTTTCTCGGATAAAGACAGAGTAGGTGCTATGTCACTTCCTGTACTTCCATATTTTTCGCCGCTGTTTTAGTTAGACCGAGAAAAAATGGAGAAACAACATCAAATAGAAAAGGCGCGAATAAGAAGACGTCGAAATTCACGGGAATTAGAAAAATTTGAACTTACCGCAGGCCGTTTGCTAGTAAATGCAGGTCTGACTTAGATGTTGTTAAAGAAGGAATACAAACAAATAGATCCATTTAGGTCATGGACCAGAGGATCCAGACGTACATGTTGCGCCACACCTTAACCACATTCTGCAGCCACATCAGCTGGGCGGAATTCGATTCTTGTTAGTATTTTAGTTGCACGTTTTCTTTTTACCTCAATATTATCTGATTACGCAGGTTTGTATTGCAAACAAAGTTCTTTTTGATTGCATCAGGTATGACAACATTGTTGAATCGCTTGAGGATTACAAAAACTCCCTTGGCTTTGGTTGCATTCTAGCTCATAGTATGGGTTTGGGAAAGACTATACAGGTCTGTTAACTCTTGACCTTCTTAAAGCATCTCCTTTTTCATTTGTTTCTATTTATAGGTCATCGCATTTGTGGAGATATTTTTGCGGGTTACAGAGGCTAAAAAAGTTCTTATTATTGTGCCAGTAAACACAATTCAAAACTGGTATAATGAGTTTGAAAAATGGATGCCTAGGTGTGTTCCAATTATCTGTGGAGTAATGCATGCGTATTTTGTACTCTTCAGGTACACGAGTAGTGGCGAGATAGCTCGCCAATTCGACGTTTTTCTATTAGGCGATTCTGTAAAAACCTTTGATCTACGGGTGAATATGATTGGTGAGTTTTATAGTAAATATGATTGGTGGTCTACGGGTGAACTTGATTGGTGACCCAGTGCTTGGTAGATTTTCCACTTAGTTCCGCCTGCCTCGCGGCACTGCATACGCAAAAAAAA